GCAGGGACCTCAGCCACCTGGGCTGGGGGAGGTCTCCTTTAGCTCACTCGGCTGGTTCCCTGCTGCTTTAAGCCAGAGACCCGGGATCGCGCCCAGGTGTTGCGGGACGAACCGGCGGGGTGGATCGGTGAGGGCACGAGCCCACGCGGAACCGCGGTGGTCACAACCCCAGTAATAGTTTGTCGATGTCTGTAAAAATGAATATGGACAGCAGGTTCCCTCTGCCAGGCTGTGTATGAAGCCAGGCCTGTTTCATTTTGGATTCTAGTCACTTCAGCTTCAGAATTGCACTTCTCTGTTCCCCTGCAGCTCCAGCGAAAAACAAACGAAAAGAAAAAACAGCTCTTCTTCCCCGCCCTGTCCCAGCCCATCTCCTTTAAACACTATTCAGAAAAAGACGGGTTCTGCGCCACTGTTTCGCTTTGTATGCTAGAGATCTTGTCAGACAGGGTGTGATCCATGATCATCACTCCATCACTCCAACCCATCAATTATGACACAACAACAATTCCGAAGACTGAGATCGCTTGTGCACAATTGCCGAGGTCCAGCACAATCGACAAGCTGTATTAGTATTGAGATTACTCCCCGGTGATGCATTAAATGTTGAACCATGGTCCACGAGGCTGAAGTCCATTCTGATAGATGATTTCTTGTGGGTGGGATAATTATAGTCATTTTCTTTGCCAGCTTGATAACAGAGATCAGGAGAGAAGCTTGCCTACTACTTAAGCATACCATTGCCTGCACATTACAAGGTAGTGAGATTCACAGAAGAGTTCATATTATTTTAACAGAGTTCCACACGTTTCTAGTAACGATTTCCACTCCAAGTGCAAATATTTATTGGAGCTTTGTGGTTATATGTAGGGGTGATGATTTGATTACTTCACCCACAGCCTCGGCTTGACTAATAATAAAAAGGCTAAACCCATTTGTTGCCAAAATGTCCTGTAAGTTCTTTCCCCTTATCCCTCTCCTTCTCCTCACAATTGTAGCCCCTCTCTGTACATCAAGGGTCGATTTAACCTGGATGACCTAGTTTTGTTACTAAGGGTGGTTCCTGTAGTAGTCCACCTTGTTAAGGCTCATCTTGATAAATGTGCCATAGGTACAGCATTTAGAACTTTTACCATGTTTACCAGGTTTGCATACATTACACACTTAATAACATTTTCATTTTAGTTTGATTCTGGTTTTCTATTTCTTTAACATGTCTGCAGCGTGCTTTTCTCTACTGGCCCACAGGAATACCATGGATTTCTGTAATAATTCAACAGAAAACATTTATCACAGTGTATGGCATAGGCATAGGAAAGCACAGTTAAGCCTTGAGTGAGATCTTCAACAGCAGGTTTGATCCTTGACTACAGCTTTTTTTACCTTGCTATAAATCCCTGATGCTTTAGGTCTTCATCTCTTCAATCATCTCTTCAGAAATCGTGGTTCTGGCCCTGAATGATGTGACTTTTTTACAGGAAGTAATGTATAAGACCTATCAATTCTTTTTTTGACTGGAACGATTTCATCTTTATTCATGACTGCAAAATCAGGGATCTATATTTGTGGCACTGTAGCAGAGGGAGTGTACCCTTGGGCTTAGATTTCACAGTAATATTGAATCCAGTGCGAAACTGGAAAAAAAAGATCTGCGCTCTTCTTTGCGTCACTGGGTGTGGGAGTCTGTGGAGAAATGTCCACGTTGAGACCAATTTCTAGATCCCATTTCCATGGTTCGGTCCCAGAATCCCTTTAAAAAGCTGGAAATGGTTATTGCCAAGCTCGGGGGCAGCAGGCACTCCACACAATCAACAATGACGATTCCTCCACACAGCTCAAAAAAATGAGAAAACGATCCACGATAAATTTGCTTTCCAAGTAACTTGCAAACATTAGCTCTCTGCATGCATTGCTGGAAGTGTGCACACAGAGATACTTAAGGAAGTTTGATCTGCAGAGGCTCTCTGCAGAGAAAGCTCAGCCTGGAAATGACTCCATGCTGACTGGAGTAGGAGACAGAGCAGGGAACTGAGGAGTTGTTTACACCAGGTTTATCACAACATACACGCAAGTGCTGACAGATCCTGTAAATCTCTTATACAGTAACTTTCTTCTTATAGATCAGAGCTTTTTTATTGGCAATTCTGTATTGATTAATCCCTGCCCTTCTCCCTCCCCTCACTTCACAAACATAGTCAATGTTGGCACAAATGGTTGCATTTTGATGCTTTTTTTCCGACTGGTATGAACACAAAGCATATCAGCGGTATTGATGATGTTCTGTTGGTTTTGTGCTTGGGAGGTTCAAGTTTTATGCTTATTTCATTTCTAAATGTCAGAATTCCTGACTCATTCTTGCTTATGTCAACTGTGGAGACACAAGTTAGAATGCCTAATACATTAGCAAAACATAAATCAATATTAATATTGTCTGTATAGAAAAACAAAGGTCATTTATTTAGCTGGCAGATATCATTCATATTCTAATTTAATATTTTAATTTTAAATTTGAATTATTCATGTATGGAATCATTAATTTTGTGAGGGTTTTTTTTTTCTTTCAGGAGCTCCTGGTGCTGTCTACATGTAGTAACGTCTTGTAATTTTGAAAATACTGCTGCATGTCGTTGTAAGCGAAACCTTTAATTTTACCCCTGAAAGCCTCTTCCCAGCTAACAGATGAAAGCAAGTCTGCCATTAGCAATTGCATTCATAACAATTTATACATTTTTAAATCACTGACCCTTTTTCTTTTTAATACAATCAAAGTCATTCCTTTTCAACAAGTTAACAGTGCCACCATGTGGGACTGTGTGAAAATTATTTTTTAAAGCTTTAACAATTCTGTTAGTGGGCCACCCCTGTCTGGGGTGCAGAGCATTTTGGAGTATGCTGGAGTATCTCTTACAATAACTGTTTAAATGGGCTGATTAAATGGTCTTATCTGACCATTAAGTAAATTGCTGTTGTCAAAACAAAATGAAAAAATGCATTAATTACCTTTAAAAAATATGCATCGTTCTGCTTTAACATTTGCATAAATTAATACCAGGACGCATTTAATGCAGACCAAACAGAAAAGAGGCTTTCAATTGTGTCATTAAAAGTGCTACAATACACAAAAACATTAGCTTAGTGAGTGGATGTTCAGTTGTTTGGTCAAATTCTGATAATGATTCTGATTAGTTCCTTGACTTTAACTTGCCTGGCTGAGGAAATGAGGGCACTGAGCAGATACCAGTACCATCACATCCCCCCAGACGAATCCCCAAAACACAGACAGATTTTGAAGAGCTAAGAGCAAATAAGTTCAGCTGCAGTTTCGCTGGAACTGAGCAGAACGTGTGTGTATCAAACGAAAGCATATATACTGTATGATGTAGCCCTGGGCTTGATTCAGCCAGTGGGTTTGAGTGCAGTGCCTGAGAAGACCTGTATGCTGTGGATGACAAAACATGGGTCAGCAAACAGGTGGCAGTACTAGAGACCAGCAGCAGTAGCAGGACCAGCTAACTTGGATTGGATTGGATTGGATTGGATTGGTGAGGAACAGAGGATGCTGGGTAACCCAGGAGAGTGTTGCCTCTTGCTGAATTTAGCTGGACAATAAGAACGGATTTCAAACTGACTCCTCCAAAAGAGAAGAAATATCAGTTAAATATGCATCTGGGGGCTTGGAGAGGCGAAAGAGTCAAAGGTCGATATGGACCAGTAATACGCCAGCAGAAAGGAACAGTACATGGGCAAGGGAACGCTGCAGCTGCAGCTGCCTAAGCTCGAGCTGCACTGCGTAGGAAGGACTGGGGAGAGGGGAGAGAAGAAACAACACAGGCTGGGGTCCTGGAGGGGGTGGGTTGGATAAAGGAAAGCGAAGGGGAGGGAAAGGAGAACAAAGTGGTAGAGGCTAGAGATAGAGAGAGAGAAGAGGGGCAGGACCGTTGTGGTGACACCACTGCAGCTGCTCAGAGTTTCTGGAAGACGTGCTGACATCAGAAGACCTGAAAGAAGAATGCAGATGCCATGGTGGGCACAGAGCTGCTTGTTTTCGGGGAAGCGTTGAGGCTGGAGAGCCGAGAGCTGTTCCAGTCAAGTTCCTCCACCGCCGGGTGCCACTGAAGAATAATGGAAAACTATGTGTACAGATGTACAAGTCCCTTCAGTCTCTTGTCAGCCTTTGTTGGTGGTGTTTGGGAGAGACTGGTTGGTGTTAATTTCACGAATCAGTGAATCCATGCTTGAGGATGCAGTTCAACAGGGAAACCAAAGACCATCTGGATGATGATGCAAACACAGTCACAGAGCCACCTGAACACTCCTCCCTCTCTGCACTGCAGGAGCAGAGGTCAGGAGAGAGATGACTGTTGCACGACTGTCGATTATTGGAATGGAGTCTCCTTGTGTGTCTGGATAGTCTGAGAATCTGATTTTCTATACATCCCTTATTGAAGAGGCCTGCATACAAAATCAGCCCACTATTGTAGAGCATAACCAGGACCTGCAAAGACGACTAAGCATACTCAGGAGGGTTACTCAGATCAATCTCCGCTGGACTCAGAAGCAACAGCAATGGCTATACAATAAACATGTTTATATCAGGAGACAATGTACTGGTTTTGCTCCAACATTAGCCTCTAAATTTTTGCCAATTTACAGTATATCCCCAAACGTATTACAAGTGGAACCCAAGTTTGAGTGTCTTGAATGAGCCAGACTAATTTGTAACATCGTTATTGCCCAAACAACTCCCTTTGAAAATGATAGGTGACAACACACTGCCACCCCATTACTAATGTCTATACAGGAAAGTATTTTTTCCTCTTAGAGAAATCTGTGTGGTTACTGACAAAACATGAGTGTAATTTCCTGTTGTTGCTAATGTATTGTCAGTGATGCCAGAGAAGCATTTCACCTAATGATGAAGTTCCAGTAATAAAGGTACTGTAAACTGACCACAAACCACCACTGACCAAGGGACTTACAGACAGAGAAAACACACAACATCTTGAAATAAATCATTTATATACGTTTTCTGTTAAGACCTGAAGGACATGAAGAGGTCTATAACATTTTGAGTTTTGAGATATAGTATATCCTTTGCCTGAATAGTCGAATAATATATATAAAAAAACGTATAGGACACCCTTACTGTTCCTGAGCTAATTGAAAGAGATAAATAACAGTGTACCTTTAAAAAGACAGATGGAGTGCTGTGCATTTTACACATGAAATAAAAAAGTCCACTGTCCTATAAGCATTATCATTTCTGTAACTAAGAAAAAGAAAATAGAAAGAAGCTGTTGACCATTAATGACGTCCTCTTTAAGGGCTTGGCTGAGGTACAGTAGCAGCTCCAGAATGCTTCTGGTAGTCCAAGGGAGGGGTTGACGTTCCCAATCCGAGATTATGGATGTTCAAACCTTGGGATTGCTGTGTGATGCTTTCTTTCTCAGACTGGTGTGCTTCTATTCTGTCGCAGCACTCCTTTCCCACAAACAATCACGAGGATAGTGTAGACATCAATGAGGATCATTACTATGTTCTTGCAGGTGAAGTAGATTATTGTGTCGTCGTATACCCCCAGCTTAGTTATCAGGTAAAGTCGATAGACGAGGAAAGGCGCATCCTGCATGACCACATTGATCAGCAAACCTAAGATCTTGTTGCAGCCCTCTTCCACCGAGTGGTCTCGGACTCTCTTAAGCAAATGTTTTGGGGCTGGATGGGTTACTGGAAGTTGGATTTTTGTTATGACTAGGGGGAACTGCATGAGGGCCAGGCTAAAGAGGCTAAGCCCGATTACAAGTAGCTTGTAGTGGGACCGCACTTCCTTGTCCTTGAAGACCTCAGATAATTCCAGAATGTCAGCCCCCAGACTCAGGAAATTTGTGAGGATATTAGACAGGTCATCCCGGGACATTTCACCTTTCGGCATGATCCAGCGTCCCAGAACCAGAACGAATGGTAAGGTCTGTCGCAGGTGCAGAATCTGCTCCTGTTTTATTCAAGCACATTGGTCACAATTAAAACCATCCCTCATCTCACATCTCAGAAAACAATACATTTCAGCTTTCAGAGAACAGAAAATCAGACAGTACCTTTCCTTGTTTTTTAAGTTTGTCAGACGATATGAGGTGTTATACCTTGAGTATTAACTACCGTGGCTGCTGTAAATGGCAAAACTGTGATTCACTGTGTATTAATGTATTGCCATAAGAGTGTCACAATCGGCATCCCTCCTCTTAAAGGGTGCTCTGACAATTTCGGATTTTAGTTGATTATGTGCACCTGCCTCTTGTATTGTCCCACTATTTAAGCCTGACGCTCTCACTATTCCGGTCTCAACACTGGGAGATGGACACCTACCAGCGGGTCCAGGAGAGACCCGACGACATAAACTTTATCATGGCAACCTGACCATCTGAGTCCGGGGCTCGGAGCACCTGGCCTCGTTATCCTACTTTTTTTCCTTGCCCTTGTTCCGGATTTTAACTGTTTTGTTTCTTCTTGGTTGGAACCCCCTGGTTTTGGACTTTGGACTGCGCCCCGGATTCCCCCTTTTGGACTGCCTGAACTTGTTTGCCATCGCCACGCCCCCAGAGCACCAGATCACTGTAGTCACACCCCCCTGTCTGTCAACCCGTTCTGATCCTCTTCGTCTCCTCCCCTGATGTCCTTCTTCACTTACTTCTGGATTATACCATCTGCATAGGGTCCTGAACTAAAACTTCGCGGGAGCCTGGACCAGCTCCCATTACAAAGGGGCCTGCTGGGAAATGGTCAGCGTACTGTATTGCTCCACGATCTGGAAGGGAGTGAGGAAACACTAGGAAAAAGTCATGCAGGAGAGGGTATGGAGACAGGGAGAGTGAATCCGGGGCGAACAATCCATAAGAAAATCCAAACGGGTAATCCAAGACAGAAGGTAAAGTCCAAGGCCAGGGGATCCATCCAGGGAATAAAACCATAAACCGTGTTGAGAACGGCGGGGCGGGGAATCAGGAACAAAAGGTTAAAACCATAACGGAGCCAGACGCAGCAGGACCCCGGGCTCTCACGAAGCGGAATTCAATGAGGACTGACGTCTTGTCTGGCTTTTAAGGTGGAACGGAAATAAGAAACAGGTGCAGGTAATGGGGCAGAAGAAGGAAGGGCTTGAGCGCCCTTAAGAGGAGGAGTAGCGATCGTGACAGAGAGATCTCAATCTAGGGAAGAAAGGGGGGACTATACCATGGCCTGATAAACAGTACCTCTAGACATGAACCAATGACTAATTAATTAATCATCACAAGTTCTACATACGTTCCAAATGTAATTGTAAAGGACCCTTTCTCTGACAGGACAGTATAAAATATGACATATGACATGACTTTTGATACCTACATGTTTTTCTTTGCCATACATCTCTGTTGTTGTGTTGGATGATGAGTATGACTGCAGCGTCTGCAGCTCCAGTATCCAAATTGAAGGAATGACAGTACACAGGTATAAGAACACCATTGGAGAGAACCTAGAGACAGATTCAGACACATCAGTACCATACAAAAGATGTTCTAGAGTAAGTCTACTTTAATTTATGATCTTTGCCTCATAAATTTGTTTGTGCAAATCCACGTTTTAGGATCAGAACATTATTAAAGGAGTGCCCTGACTTTATAAGAAGAAATCATGCAAGAGTTGAAAAGATTGAACGAAATCTTGGCCTCAGACCATAATCTCTGCTCATGCTGAATGTTATTGCAGCACTTTACTGATTACAGTACATACAGTATGCAAATTCCAGGAGAAGACCTTCAAAACAATCTTACTCTGTGCCATGTCACTGAAGAGAAGTCTCATCGTCAAACAGTAATCATGCTTTCTTTATAAAGGTTCTCTTGCTTGTTACTGGTAGGCTATGTATGCTCTACTCCAAAGTAATTTAAGTTTTTGGTGCAAATTCTAATAATGATGAAACGAGCCAACTAATATACTGTAAAGTGATAGCATGCTTAACAATGGGGCATTAGCTCGCCCAGATGAGGATAAGCTAGTGAACCAGGGAGCTGCTGCAAGCGTGAAGCTGGAAAAGAGGGAGGGGTGATAGAATCGATGTGTGCAGTGTTGTGAACAGCCAGTTACTTAGAAGAGCGGAGGTGTGAGATTTAGAATTTACATCCTCCCGAATTTCTGTTAAATCAGAGCATTTTGTATGGTGTATGTCCTGATGAAAGCTTATGACAATCATTTAATTTTGGAGCAGAGAGTGTGCCTCCAGTTGATTTCGCCACTTTTACCAAATATTTGTGGACAGCTCCACAATAACTTTTGTGTGTTCTCTTTCTTGTTTCGTGTAGACAGCTTACACTGTCACAATGACAAAAATGAATGTGTGTCAATGCCTTGCTTTAAAAACTCATGTACAGAATTGCAGTTCACACGTTAACATAGAGAAATTGCACTTTAAGGGTAAAAACATGGGACAATCATCAAAGTAGCTACATCACCTTTAATATAAGGTGTTTCTCTAGTGTTCTGTTTTTATTTAAAATGTATCAAGCACACAAAATTCATGTACAAATGGAAACGGTATGGATGTTTAAAAAGCTACATATGTGGTTTGTACAAAGTTTTCCAGAGGATTTGGAAATGCAACAAATGAAGTGCAAACTTATTCTTTGGAAAGAGCAAGAGAGTAAGGAATAAAAAAGAAGCAGACATTTAAAATCATTACCATTTCCACCATCCGTGGGTTGTAAACTTCCAAGTCACTATCATTTCTACCACCAGGAATAAAACGCCGAGCAGCAGTACCCAATAAAAAGGGTCTCTTTTCACTGAGACCACGCACCACACCAGCATCCCCCCATGGACAGCAAATAAAGTGCGACTCAGGATGTCCAGAAAGGTTGTCCAGATGGTCTGTCCACACATCATTTCAGATGTTCCAGAAGATAGGTCCTGTTTTCTAAACAGTAAGAACTTTGTTATTTTCTACAGCATAGTATATTTAGTTCAAAGTGCCTCATACCCACACCCAGGTCACAGGCAGCAGATGGGCATGTAGGATCCAAGCACACGCTTGTGATGTGACCTTTTACTTCTGACCCAAACCTGCACTGGGGTTGGATGCACACAAAATAGTGACATCACATTCTTATTCCCTTGAGTCATTCAGGGCCTGCCCCGCAACCAGTGCCTGAAGCTAAACTTTCTTATCTGTTAGTTTACAAGTCTATGTTCTCTGTTTACAGAACACCGCCAATGTCACAATTATGAAGCAAAGCTTCCAAATTGAAAGGAGTAGGTGAAATGTTAATGGTGGCACAAAGCGTGCCTCAGTATGCTGCTATGTATAACAATTGACGTTATATATTTACGAAGATCCTCAGCAAAAGTACATTTCAGCGATATGAAACCACAGCAATGGTACAGTATGTTAAAATCATATAAAAGGTAAAAAATATACAGTAGTTCTGTAATAGATTTGTTATGTTAAACATCTGCATCTCATCTTTTTATATATTGAAACGGAAATTCATATCTGCACATAATGAAATGTATATAATAATTTGTAGACATGTTTTAGGATTATCAAAGTAAAGAGAACTGACTCCAAGCATTTCTTAATACAGAGGCCCACAAGTCCAGCGTTTGAATATCACAGTCCTGTAAGTTTTTACCAGCGACTGAGAGAGGTTATTGCCAGGTTATAGAGACGGTTACGGAAAGCTAAGGTTACGGTTCGTGTGGAAATCCCCTGGCCACGCTACCCAATAAAAGGGAGCTCTTCCTCAAACACATATTATGATTACGACACACTCCTTCTTCTAGGAAAACAAAAGTGAAACTTTTTGAAGTTGGCACTGCAGTGTCAGTATACACGAATATATGGTTTCTCACATAGTTTCAAGCAGAGGTACGAGCGGGGATGATTCAAAATGATTCTAATACTGATGTGTAGTTACATGTATATGAGTAATAATAAAGTAATTAACATGGATAATCTAAGAGTCAAAAGTTAAACTAATACCAGTAATCATTCATGGCAATTTCAGTATAACTGATTAGAATAAAATGACTAGAAGTATATGACTGTCCAAAGTATTTGTTTTGTATACATGTATTTGTTATCATTCATTCCAGCTACTCATTATGGTGTCTAAACTGCAGCCTTTTGTAGCATTACTTATAATTGATGAAAACTTAATCTGTTAGGATACGCCGTGCTAGAAGTATAATTTGAATATACTTGAACATCCAGGTCATTCAGTTCTGCTTTTAAGCTTTCATTATGTTTGATTTGCAGAAAGCACAGTGCTGCAAGGAGAAAGAAAGCAAACTGGAATTCGGTGACTTGGATCATGACTCTCGGCCCTTCTCTGTTGTGTTCAGAACTTTCTAGCCCATTTTTTTACACCATTTCATGAAAGAGCAAAAGCACAGCCACATGTCTTTTTGCCCTATTCAAAGATAACTATAGCAATACAAATAATAAAGATGGCATATCAATGAGTCCACGGTTTAAATAATAGTGATCTACAAAGATCGACTTACAAGGTGTTGTCCTGTGGAGAAGTATCTCTGTTCTGCAGACCGCTGGCAGGATAGGCACTTTAACAACCCCACAGTCAAGAGCGATTCTTCTGTGCACCTCAACACCGACAGACATCAGTGGGCAAGTGCTTGTCAAGACAAGTGCAGGCCTTCTTGTCCACCCACAAATCTGTGTTCCTCTCCACCCAGCTCGCTTCAAAGAGCTCCAACAGCAGCTTGCATGTTTATTTCCCCTTTTCCTTTGTGGTTGCAAGGCGTGGTTTACACTTCATTTTTCTTTCAATTATTTTTTTTTTCTGAGTGGAAGAAATGAATAGGCACTGGTAAGTCTTTCATTTCATTTAGTCTTTTATTCTGCCCTTAACATCCTTCCGCTGCCTGGGTGCGTGTAAGCAGAATCTTTTGTTCAATGCCATTCTGAGGAAGTGAATTTACAAATTGTGCCTTTTTATGAAAAGGTTGGGCTCTCACTGTTTGTGGAGAAGCCAAGGACAGCAGAGTGAAGCTGGTCAGCTTTATTGTGGCACTGGGAGCCCACAGTCCCACTATACAGTATGTCATGTAAAAAGTGTTCTCAACAAAATTAAGAATTATTATAGGGCTTTATAAGGAGATCCTCGCAAGGGTGTGTGCAGAGTTATTTAGTTCGGATGGGAAGAATTGAGATACAAATACATTATTCTGCGCAGTTGCATGCAAACAGTTGGAGTTCGTGTAAAAGCAATTCAGGGAGGTTCAACTGCAGAAAAACAAAAGGCTTCCTCTTCAAGGCCACCCTCACTCCTCCAGGAGCTCTGCTTCTGCCCAGAGCATTCCAAATGTTGTTGCTTGGCAACGAGATAGTGGCCCACTTCTTCAGCCCATATCTCCCCAGCACACCATGAAGTGTCTCACTCACAGACCCGTCTCCTGATCACAAGCCTGTCTCTCCCTCCTACCTCCCCAGACCTGTCTCTCTCTGAGCCTTGTCTTTCTCTATGAGCCCCACAAACCTTCACTGCCATTATGTTCTTTGAGATTATGCTCATTCTCTTGAACATTAGCATGTTGTTTTTATCTTTACCACGTCTTTCACATCTTTAAATGTCTTATTTGTGAACTCATGACCTGAAGAATCCAATTCCACTGTGCCCAGTTCTTTACTTCAGACTGACAAATGTCGTTGTGAAATCAGTATTTCATTGTTCTAATTTAGTAAGTGTGAATTTGAAAGCATATTCTTTCTAATCAGCAAAAAGTTGATGTACTTAATGGGGAAGCTGTGTCAGGGTACATTACTACAGATACAGATCTGCCAGCCTGTATAAGATTGATAAGACAACTGACTTCAGATACAGTACCTTTGGTACACTACACCATAGGCGTAAGTTACAGTTGGCAACTGTAGTCAGTAGAATAACATCTATCCAATTTTCCAGCAACTCTCTGGCTGTGTATGACTTAACTGGTGTGTTGTGATGATGTAAGGTAATCTCTGTTGCTATTGGCTGTGGTGACACCAGAACTAGGGCTGCGAAACCAGACAGTCAGTACCATCGGAATATGTCATGCATGAAGAATGGTAAACCAAAAGTGCAGCATGAATGCAGTAAGCGTTGCAACTGTTTAAAAGACAGGAAGCTCACTTCCGGAGTAATATCACAGCTTAGTCGCGCTAATAACTAATAACTAATAGCTTGTTCTTTACACGCCCCCCTGCCTATCATGCTGAGCATAATCTCTGTCATTTGAGATTATACAGCATTTTTGTATGATCTGGTTTCAAAATTAGTAAAAGAAAAAAAAAGGAGAAATGTGATAGTGCAAGAAAAAGGAGAAATATGATAGTTAATCATCCACACTATTGTTTTCTTTTGCTTCCGTGATGGAAAATTACCAATTTGTTTTCCTTTACAAGTACTCCAGCACCGCTGTGATGTGTCAACCCTGCTACTGGGCTTGTTTCAAATCTGTATTTTACACGAGAAGACAAGAAAGGTTTCACATGAGCGGAGACCCATCTTGTTCGCTTGGTCTCTAGCAGCTGAGTGATCTGAGGATCTCATCCAATCATTTCTTGAAAGATCCAATGGAATCAATTTCAATAACATGGCTGTTCAGCTTGTTAGAGAAACCCACACCCCTGTGAAAGAAGCGCTTATTCTTCTGTTCTTGGTCCTACATGTGTCACCTTCCAGTTTTCATGTGTGCCCCAAGACCATTGATATGTCTGTTTTGAATAGCTGAAGTCTCCTACAGTCTGTCTGTGTACACTGTTTGAACCAAGAATTAATCTAGTGGCTCACCTTTAAATACCCTCTAGGGCAGAAGTATCATTGTTGTAACATGGTGACCATGGTGACTGTGTAAATATAAAAAGAGCACCAAAGTGATTTGTTAAATGACTGCCCTTTTTGTTCACGGAGATCCATTCAGGGGTAATACCGAACTCAGTAGAAGAGAACAGTGCCCCAGTGCAAAAGGTGTGAGATAAAAGTGTTCTAATCCAACTGACCAAATCCCCTATGAAGTTCAGGGGGTTTCAAGGGAACAGATAAAAACAAGCATTTATTGTACATACAGGTATGTAAAAAATACAAATAGAAAATACAAAAAAGAACACATTTCAGCCCAAAAAAGTCTTCCATTCTGGGTCCAGTCCTGGCTTTCATCACCTGTCTGTCTGGCAGGTGACTGGTTTCCTCAGGTTTTGTTAAGCGCTCCAGTGTCCTCCACAGTCCCATGCAGGTTAGTGTGGCTGGCTATTCTGAGTGATCTCACAGGGTCTCATCCCTATGAGAATGGTTACTGACTTCAGCTCATATCTGCTCCACTCTGTGAATGGACTGGGCTTGATGTCCCACTCAAGAGCCCCCGATTTCTAACAAGAAGCTTTGCTCTTACTTGCTCAGTTAGAGAATAACCCTTGGTGACTGTGTCTCAGCGTGCTAGCAATATATTACAACATGTACTTGCACAACACAGTATCAGACTAAGATAATGCCAGGTTAACGTAAAAAGCCATAACCAGGACAGATTGCATTCTCAATGAGCATATTAACAATTAACAATAAGAATTCAAATGTTGCATTCAGTTTTTCTTTGCAATTGTACAGTGAACACCCATCTCCCACTCTCCAGCGGTCATGTCTGAAAATCCCAACCTATATAATAATAATAATAATTGCTTACTCTTATATAGTGCTTTTCTGGACAGTCCAATCAAAGCGCTTTACAGGTAACGGGGACTCCCCTCCGCCACCACCAATATGTAGCCCCCGCCTGGATGATGCGACGGCAGCCATGGTGCACCAGGACGCTCACCACACATCAGCTATTAATGGGGAGGAGAGCAGAGTAATGAAGCCAATTCTTAGAGGTGGATTATTAGGAGGCCATGATTGGCAACGGCCAATGAGAAATTTGGCCAGGACACCAGGGTTACACCTGTGTTCTATTTTTGATGCTCTGGATCCCAGTTCTCTGCCTCCGGGTCATGACGTGCCTCCCTGCTTGAAGATGTGGAGTGAAAAACTGAGACGCCCACAGAGATCTTACTGCACTGGACTACAATGATGCGGTAGATTTCTATGAGGACGATGAGGATGTTCTTGCAGGTGAAGAAGATCATGGACTGGTTGAGCACGCCCTCCTGGACGATCAGGTATAGCCGGTAGATGAGAAAGGGGCCGTCCTGCATCCCTACTGTGACCAGCAAACTCCAGACCTCACTGGAACAGCAACTGCCCACCGCCTCATCTGGCCTGGAGTCTGGGTCTTCAAGATGACACTGGGAAGGGCTGGTTTGGGTTAGGACCAAGGGAAACTGCATGAGGGCCCAGGTGAAGAGACTGAGCCCTGTGACAAGAATGCTGAGGTTGTTCTCTACCTCTTTCTCCTTGAAGATTTCAAATATGTCCAGGATGTCAGCTCCCAGCCCTACGTAGACCATGAGGAGCTGGGAGAGCTGATCCCGGGACAAGTCTCCCTTCGGCATGAGCCAGCGGCCAAGAACCAACACGATCAGCATGGTCTGCTCCAGCCCCAGCACCCAATTCTGTGGCTCTAGCTGTGACAGCTCCTGTGTCATTCAAAACATGGGACACATTGAAAAACACCCCTCATTTCAAAGCTGGGCTGGATCCTTTTCCAGGTTTATTTTTTTTAAATACAGGAAATGCAAAAAACTTAACTTTCATTGTCTGTTATATTGTTTCACTCTCATCTGGTACCTGTTAATTGCATTCTCAGTATGGCCAGTGGTTATCTGTTTAAGGGGATGACTTTCAATTAATTCTTTTTTTTTCTATAAATAGTTCACAATAAATTACCCTGATCTTAGATTGTAAATTATTGTCTCTCTATTCCATTCTGTTCTAATGAATTGGAACATTTATTAAACAGTAGTTAATTATCAGATAATTATTGACTCAGAGACCGGATGGTTCATGCGTTTTGAGCATGGCATTGATACTGCCAGGAATGCCAATGAGGAAAAGCATTTAATAGCCCATCACATTACATGTCTCCCTTTCACTTATGACCTGTAATGAGCCTGCACACACAGTGCACACATCAGTACTTTCCAGCAGGGATATTAGCTTCGAACTGCAAATTATACATGGATGTCAAACATGATAAGCTAGATTGGTCATTTAACAGGTTGTTATAAAGATGGTTACAGGATATGTGCTTTAATACGCTAAGATCTGAGCATTTGAATGAACAGGCTTTGAAAAGGTCAGGGCTATTCATCACATCCAAAAAGTGTGTAGGAATTAGTGGGATGGGGAGGGGCAGATTGCAAGTCAGTTATGCAAGGAAGATCAAAATAAAAGGAACCAGATATCCAGATTAGAAGGGGAAAGTCTTACTTTATTTCTATAGTATATTCTGTAACAGCCACTTTACCTTTATATTTTATATCACCCAGGTAATTTGTATATTCTACATGACATTATTATATACAACTAATGTAGCTTATATTACTTATTGGCATGATTGAGGTAAGGAGAATTTTGTTAAAGAGGACTGTATAAAAGATGGCACGTGGCCTACATGTATGCTTCTCATACCCACCAGTGGTATTGGTATGCTGGCAGGCAGGTATGGATCACTCCCAAGAGAGGTGTTGACTGACATCCTGGACTGCATCAGGCTGAGTTCAAGATACCATATGGAAGGAATGGCAGTGCTTAGGTACAAAAACACCATTGGTGAGAACCTAAAGACAGACACAGGTCAGTTCTTAGCTCCATTGAATGCAGCATGTTCTAGATTTTAAAAAAATAAGTGTTCTCATTCAGTATGCAAATCCCTCTTAAAAGAATTGAATTCTTTAAAAAGGAATGCCAAAGCGATGGAAGAGGCCCGAGGTGATTGTGCTCCTTCTACTCAGCTGTGTAGGAGTGAACTTGATGGAGAATTATTCATCAATGTAAAGGAATACAGACCTGTTCTAATATCACATGGTATCCACTTATCAGAGGCTTATTGTGGGGTAACTCTTTTGCAGGCTGTGTGTTAACGCAGTGCTTCATGCATATGGATATTCTTGGAGAGTCTGTCCAAAATAGCTTTTGGTTGTCCTAAAGGCAGCAAACCTCTGACAGCCAAAACATGTTGAAGTGTTTAAACAGTTACTACAGACTATAATGGTGCTGTCGCTTGTAGCTGGTAAGCAGCTTATCTTGTCATGCTAGCGGGGAAAAGGCTTGAGCATGGTAATGATGCATTTCCTTTAACTGATATACAATATTCCACAAAGGAATTGTGCATGTGCACAAAAAGCATTAATAAAAATAACAATATAATCAGCAGCTTGCTACAATCACTGAGGTAGCTCACTGATACTAACCTGAAGTGTTAATGATAGGTCATTTTTTGCTTTTTGTGTTTTTATTTTTTATAAAAGTAGTTTGGGATTAAGAAAACCATTACTACACATCTGATTATGATGAAAAGGTTTCTGTATGTGTTTACAGTTTTTGGTATTAAATTCACCACTGAAACATCTTCTGAACTACGTCCTGTACTGTTAACCCCAAGATCTTGCTGCAGAGCTGTTTTTCCTGTTACTTATTGGAAATGCTTTCATGTCACTTCAGATTGTTACAGCTCAAAATGTGCCCTCCGCCTTCTTCGCTCTAGTCTCCTCCCTCGTGAGACGAAGGCTTGCAGTAAGTGTCAGTGCAGATCCACACGGAAGCCTTTACCATTTCCACTCCCCGCTCCTTGTGAACTTCAACGTGACCCCCATCTCTACACCCAGGAGAGCGACGCCCAACAGCAGGAGCCAGTAGACAGGATCCCCTTTGACCGTGACCACGCGCCACACTGTCAGAACGCCATGCACAGCGAACAGCAAGCGGCTCAGTGTGGCCAGCAGGACGTTCAGGAACTTGCACATCTCTGCCGAGGTCCCAAGGCCACGTCTCCTGTAGAGTAACGTGTTTTTCATTATATCCATAGTATCTCATAGCACTTCAGTCATCGCTACAGACGTCTGGACTTTCATAGCTCAGGCCTAAACAACCCATACTCAGTGGTGGAGATTCTGTACTCTTATGACCCATTTAATATTAACAATTGATTGCAGTTATGTAGCACCCTAAAGGATCTCAGAGCACTTTTTGTACAGGTGGGGACCCACAACATCCACCACTGAAGTACAGCCCCACCAAGGCAATTTATAGCAACTATTATGAATAGGCAAACCCACAACACAGCAATGGAGAAGTGAGGAATTGCTTCACCTAATGAATCAAGGGTGAATTTTAGTTTGGCCAGCAAATATTGTTTGTTAAGCTTGCTGGCATGATGTTTTAATGACTTTGAAAATTTGAAATCGAGAATTTAAGACACAGAAAACACAAAACATGTATTAAGAGAGGTTTCGGGGAGAGGACACCAATCTTGTATTTAACATTCTTTAATTCACATTGATCAGTACCTTCAAAGCCACGATCACAACAACCCAAGGAGAACATTCTATAACCATCTAATATGAAGTGTTGTAGTAGCTGATCAATTAGATGATCAATCACATTTAACAATCAAACCGCATTAACTGAATGAGACAAGGTGAGCCTCATCAATTACATCAGACATATCAGAATGAACTGGTAATGGAAAACAAAATGGTTTTCAGTAGTTTTGCTAATGTAATTAATTGTAATTGATGCAAACAAAATGACACGTCTATTGAAATATATTTAATGTTTCAGTGTTGGACATTAACTCACTGAAGTAAATACTCCCTTAAGTAATGTCCATCCTGGCCATAAGGTGACAAAACCCCCTTCTCTTGCGAGGAATGAATCAGGGTGCTGCAGCAAGAGTGAAGATCGGGTGGAGGGAGGGGGACTGGAAGGGGTTTAGCAGCAAAAATATTTATACAGAAGAGAGGGAAACTGCAAGATTTACAATTTCATCTGCTCCTGAACTTCTGTTTTACAACTCCATAAAAAGTCAAGATAGGTTTCAAAATGAAGAAGGAAAAACACAGAGTGTAATAGAATAGTAAACAATTCAAAGAACTCTAAAAGAACAGAATAATGCAAAACGTCTAGGATATGGCCAACCGGTCAACACAGGCATTTGTTCACTTGCCTAAAACTTTAAGCTGTTTGACCAAATAACGGTTTCATTTCTATCTGGAAAGAAAACAATGCTTTAGATAAAAATTACATAATTTAGGAAGTGTAAAGAAACAAGAACACGAATGTGATTTCTTAGTTTGGGGAAGAGAACTTGTTAATTATGATCCAACACAATGGATGATGGGATAAGATGGATCTGTGTGTGTTATCAACTTTTTATTTCATTGTAGTTTAAAGTCTGATCCCACTACCATGAACAAAACAGCCAAAAACTGCTTTTCAAGAACATTTACGCTGTAGTGAATATTCAAATCCAATATTCTGATATACAATTTTCAAAGCATAGAAATGCAACACTGTTTGCAGTTTGTAAGAACATAGCCATAATTGGGTGTCAACAACAATTCCTTTACCCTATAATTGTCAGATTGAATGTATCTTTATTAACTTAAAAGTGAACTCTAGATATTCTATACACCCCATTCCTTTAGTTTTTATATGTTTTGTTCTTGAAACAAATATTTAATATGCTGAAATCAAGCTTTTTTTCTACATTGCTTCAGGGTTTAATTGAAGGAGACTTGTGCTTTAAAGAAATCTCATTTTTTTAATCTTGATACCTTATTATAATGCTTTGTTGTGGTTCCATGTGTAATAGGATTTGCAAAAGAACTTCATCATTTGAAACGCATGACACTATTTTCTAGCCTTATAAAAATAAAGACCCTTTACTCTCACATACTGTAAAAGCAGTGCCCCACAGATTGTAAATTCACTTACCAAATGCTTGGATGTTCCCTTCACAACTACAAGTTGCAGCTCCTTGTTTCCTAATTAGGTTCTTCCCACAGTGATAGATCTGTTCAGTTTCGCCTGCAGAAACTGTTTCGTCCAGCTTTAGTTCATCATTGTAACAAAGACAGCATGCCAACCCCCATTCTTTCAATGTGGTTGCCGAGCTCGCAGCTTTTAAAGATTACTGTTAAGGGGGGGGGTGGACAAACTTTAACTGCATGGAAGGGTGTATACACTGTTATAAAGGTTAATGCAAAGTTGAAAAGATATGGTCAGGGATGGACATGATAAACTCCTCAAATCTGGACCTCCTCTGTCTGAAGGAAGTCATGTGAAGTCTCTGTCACTGGGAATGAATGGTTGTAGATAAAGGTTCCTGCTTTGAAATGGTCATCTCATATACCAGCCTTCGTTCTGTCTTTCAAACAGCGGAAAACAAAGTTATCTCAGATGACGAAGAGCAGAAAACAGAGGGACCTTTTTAAAAAATATCAGTGTTGTTCCTTAACCCACCCAAGACATGCCCAGTCCCAGCAATGTGCACAAGATAAAACATTAAAGACATCTGAGGTGACTGTAAATGTTTTTACATGCACCTCAGATAAGAAGAATAAGATTTGATTTCAGGGACATGTATTAACTAAAAAATAAATTAGTTATGTTATGTTCAGGCCCATGAACAGCATATAACTTTAGCTTTCATTCAGTATAACAAATTAATCTACACTGACTGCAACCTGGAAGCATATTAATAATTTAATTAATTGCTAATCTACAAATCTGTTTTTGACTTCAAGTTTGATGCTATCATTTACACAACACAGATAATATGAAATTAACAGAAATGTAGGCTTTTATTTAATTTTTGTATGAATAACATCAGAAAAATGACAAACATTGTTTTCAACTAGACACGAGTCATAGAATTCTTATAATATCAGTTATGCTGTATCCATCATAACACTTGGTTTCACACCATATTATTGGGTTATGTGAGTTATCAAAATAATATCTCATAGGAGTAATGCAATTCATTTCTTGTTCAAGTATTAAGCTATATTATGAAATAGAAAAGATTCAGTTCAGGGATGACTGAGCAATAGGGCTCAACCTGCATTTGAAACAAGAGTCTTAATAATTTCTAATCATCTCCATTTTATTATAGCAACATTTGTTTTAGTATACTGTAGCAAAGGCATCCTCAAAGAAAAGATCAACCTTTAAGTCAATGCAGAAATGATGTGACAAAGGGGACAAATATAGGTGATCAAACAATTGCTTTTAATGTTCTGCAAACAGAGAGATTGACAGGATGTGGTAAGATATCCCATGTAATAAACTTAGTGTAATAAAAACTAACCAAAAGACAGTGTGAGTGCATTGGAGGTAAAAGTTAAAGACAGAGTATTAGCATGCAGGATGACATATCATGTGTTATACAGTATGACTGGCATTGCGCTGTTCTCTTGATCTTGCAGTTGCTGTTTCGATTGTACCAGTACTACTTTTTGCCTATGCAAATAGAAGGGTGGCCGTCTCCTCCTGTCTCCCTGTTGAGGGGTTATTTAATTTGCTCAGGGTAAACAAGCGCGGACACAGATACAAAAGCAACCGAATGAAGGCCTTGAGGATGTGAACTGAAGTATTGAACAACAGACACAGAGCTGACCAGAATGTACTGTAGAGTGCAATATGGCAGACGTGGCTACTGTCCAAGAACTCTTTCCTTCCAGTTCCCCTTGTGACACAGGATGACACAGGACTGACCTGTGTGTGTGTGGGGTGGGGGGGATTTCTGTTCCACAAGGAATAATCCATCGTTTTTAGTGCTGGGGTTCCTATCTTATCTTGAACTCGTCTTTGGAACTTGAGGGGACAAATCCCTTGTGAATCACAGCGTTCAAGAGCTACTGGCCGCCATTGTCAAGGTACGCCATGCACATTGTCCATGTGGCGCTCCTGCTCACATGGTGTAAGCCACCCAGTAGATGACATTGACCGCCGCAAAGGCTGCTGGGAAGACCGCCCTGGCGTAGATATCGATGGTGTCCGCATCGATGGGTTTGAACACCGACTTCAGACTGCTCTTTTTCTCTTCGCTCCCCTCCTGCTTCTTACCCTTCGTCTTGCCATTCTCTGCCTCGTCCGCGCCGCAGGGAACGCCAGGAGCCCTCTGCGCACGCTTCTGCCGGTTGGAAACGAGCAAGCCCTGGTTCATCCCCGTTACCGACAGGGAGAAGAGGACCATGGCTTGCTTGCCTTTCTTCACAATGGACTGGGAAGGGGAAGAAGAAAGGCCATTTTACACCCTCAGACTTGTACTTGTTAAATCATAAGGTTCAGAATATCCTGTATCCTCCTGTATTCATCACCACCATCATACGAGTCAGACTGAAAAGACAAGGCACCTACAAAATTATTGCTAGTCACTATTTATTACTGAATTAAACATTCGTTTTTTACTATAAATAAATCTGTGCATTTCCCTTTTCTCCATCTTTCCTTTCAGAGCAATATGTTTCCTGTCATATCTGTATACACAGATATGTCATGTCATTTGCCAAACCGCTTTATACGATACGGTGTCGCGGGATGCCGAAGCCTACCCGGCAAGCAACGAGCGCAAGGCAGGGTACACCCTGGACAGGGTGCCAGTCTATCGCAGGGCCAGTGCAAGCCAGTCATACAGGGGGACAATTTAGAGGTCGCGGTAAAGGCAGAGAGGGAAAATTTGGCCCAGACACAGGGATAACTCCATACTCTTATCAAGAAATGCCAAGGGATCTTTAATAACCACTGGGGCAGGACCTTGGCTTAACGTCTCATCCGAAAGACAGCGCACACTACAGTATAGTGTCCCCGCCACTATACCAGGGCGCTAGGACCCACACAGACCGCAGAGTGGGGGCATATACAGTATATATGTAGCCAGCATACTGTATATAGTTTTGTGTGTTTCAGTAAATACAGTAAATATTCTCATTTTCACAAGAACATGCCACAGATGATTGATTACTACAACATTAAAGGTAATTTTCTAACCTTGCAACTAGAAATAAAAATCTATACATTACACGGAGAAGAATTAATGGAAACGGTTATTTTTACAAATTAAGTATGACCTCAGGGGATTTCTCTGTGGTTCAACGATGCTATTTTTTTCTGGTATAATCTAATGTAGAGACAGCAGGAGGCTGTATGGAATTTTTTTTTTCCTGTATCTGCAGTCCTGTCATAGAAGCTGACAATTCCGAACAGGAAATTGCACAGACAACAGACTGCAATACTTTTCTTCAAAGTCACTCTAGTGATTATTCTTCTGCTATTCTTCTCGTGTCATCCGTGAATGAATCTCCTCAAAGCGGACGTTTACACCAGAAGACTTGCGATTTCCAAACACTAACATTGGTTATTAATATTTCTCAGATAGAACAAGCAAGTCCATTGGCTGTTTTGTCATTCCGTGGCACAACACTTTTTGTAAAGGGAACCGAGGGTTCATGATTTCTCCCTGGGGGCTCATATCAGAGATACCCCCACCACAGCAGGAGCCCACATATAAAGTTGGGTGAACTGGAGCGATTCTAGTAAAATAATTCGCCCTAACCACTGCCCTGGACTGCCCCTTCATCTCAGTGTTGTCCCAGACTCGGCCCGTCCTCACCTCTGTTGCCATTTTGTTGGCTCTGATTTTGTCCCTCTGCTTCCTCATGTAGTCGGCGTTGTAGTGGGCGAAGGCATACTCCACCAGGGCCGCGAACACGAAGACGTAGCAGATCCAGAAGTAGACGTCCAGGGCTTTGATGGCAGATGCTCTGGGGAGAGAGGAGCGTGCGCTGACCATCAGAGTGGTCATGGTGAGGACTGTCGTGATCCCTGCAGAAAACACAAGCAGCAGAATGGTGAATATGAAAGTATTTTACAATAGAGGACACGGCTTTAGGTCCCAGTTATGGAAAGGACTACTTCTTAAATACAAATATTTTTTCTGTTTTCTAACAATATTTTACAACATATGTACAATATTTCAGCAGTAAAGCTGAGAAATTTTAATTTTGGTGTTTTTTGTAACAAACCTTTGTAGGAATCTCTTTATATGTTCTGTATAAATGTCTTTTAGAAACTGCACAATACCATTTTCAACCAGTCCACTCACTTCTTTTATTGTGTTTCATTATTCTCCATCCTTTTCCTTCATTCTTCTTTACAGTAAGTCCTGCAGTATACAGTATGGGTACAAATAATCTCCCAGAGTCTCTAATATTAAGTTATAAATATAAATATTACATTTGCATATGAAATTGATTTGTGGAGCATCCTCTTCATTGTTCATGTTCTACTTTAATTTGTCATCGGTATACTTTCAAAGGTTTGCTCATATATAATTATGGAAAAGTCATTAATTCAAAAAATCATGAATCGAAATCATTGCAAAACTCCACTCTCACCCACCTAATGACACCCTTGCAGGCACTGCTGATTGGCTGATCCAGAAGGAAACCCAGGACATGGCAACCAACAGTATGGAAGGCACATAGGACTGGATGATGTACACTCCCCGATTCCGCCGTAACTGGAAACATAAGCTCAGCCGGGGAAAGCGACCAGCTGAGGCATTGACAAGAGACCGAGTGAAAGGCATGTGTGTAACACTTATGACACACTCGTGTTTTATCAGGTGCAGTGCATTGAGTGTCATTGACTCTTAGCTGGAACACGTGAGATTTTCCAACATGTGAATTGGCCTCCCTGCATGACATCCACAGTCTACCATGCTGGCATGGCACCATTGGGTATCATGGCTTGATTGCCATATTATAACTTTGAAAAAAAGACATTAGGATTCAAGCCTTCTCTTACCAAGCTCCAACATTAACGATGAGTAATTATTCCCTTGCCTTAAAGGAGTAGAGAAGGACTCCATTCCCCTGTCATTCCACAAGCAGTCTCCTGTGCATACTGTACCTGATTTGAAGTTCATCATCTCTGTGTCAAATCTGTAGTCGGTAATGGTGAACTGGGACAGTTCCAGTTTATCCAGCCCATGTATATGAGCTTGACTCTCGGACCAGTGATACACAATGTCCTCAGAAGAGTAACCATCTGGAATAAGAAAAAGGTTTATGAAAGCAGTCCTTTATTAGAAATATGAAAAAAGATGCATGTTTAATTTGAATTAATTTGATCCGAACATCTCACACCCATAGAACTTGATACTGGCTTGGTTAAATTCACTCTGGAGCACAGGGAGCACTATGCAGAAAAGAACAATACCACTTCCGTACTGTTCTACACATTTACAATCCAAATCCTATGTTTCTAATTTTGTTTTCATGCTTGAAGATAAGATCACAAAGAGAGCAGCTCTACTTCAAATTGCCAACTCTCACAAGAAGCAAGGCAGAAATGAGCGTTTCATTTTTTTTTTGTCTGGTGATGTTTTGCGCTCGGCATATTGTCCAGAGATTCAGACAGGGAGCAGACAGTCATGAAAGATTGAAACTCACAGCTCTCCAGCTCCAGCATGCATTCCTGTTCATCCATGGGATATTTGGTAAGATCCATGTCACATGCCACTGTTGAGGTAATTCTGAAAAAGAGGCATTTTTAAATAATACCAAAGGTGCTTGACCTTGAACAGACAATTAGAATGTACAGTATGTGAAAATCAAGAGGCATTTAAAATGTTAATGTTAGTATTGCAATACGAATTTGGCCCTTATCTAAATATTTTGTTTCATTTGAGTATCCAGCTGAAATTACCATTAATGGTGACGACTGATTAAAACCCCATGTTTGCCAACCGTACCGAATGCTGTACAGGATAACTCCGTCAGGCTGCAGGCGGATCAGCTTGTTCTCCACCGTGACGTCGTGAAACCAGGCGGATTTGGCGTTGACGATGAATGTGTCAGGGAGCCACAGCTTGTCGACGAATCGGCTGTCCAGGCCAAGCGTCTTGTTGGTGTGGTTGTATGAGAGACGGTCATCCCTCCAGCTCTGACGCAGAAACACTGTCATCGTGTACTCCTTCAAGAGGAACACAGACACTGTCATTGTGTACTCTTTCAAAAGAAATATAGACACTGTCATTAGGTCAGAAAAATAGAAACTCTGTTTTTGCATACTCTTCCATCATACTAGAAGGAACTTTATACTTGATTAATATACTTATACTTGACGATAACAGTAATTGTATTGCTATTGTTTCCTGTTCTTGGATAGCCATTGTGCCTCTGTAGGGCTGGCAGAGGGTTTCTGTATTGACTACTGAACTGTAGATGTACGATCAACAAAGGTGCATTATTTTTCTACTTCCGACAATGGTTCCATGTCTTAGTTTAATCTCATCCGCTGCTACCTGTGGAACTTCAGCACCCTCTAGAGCAACAGTACTCTAAAAAAGAAACATTACCATGTTTGCTTCTGAGATGTGATCGATACTGGCTACTTCTATAGCCATGGCTACGTTCACTGGAGGACCTGTTGAAAAACAATTTACAAAGAAACAAAACAAAGCACCGAAGCAAAAAAGGCCATTCTTCCCCATATGGGAGAGCAATATGAGCAAAGCCAACATTTTATAGCTGTTCTTGTCAGATTCTTGACCATCTAAACAGCAGTCTAATCATTATGTTTTTTATTATATTTACTCACATTACGTAGGTTTTGTTAACAACAAAGACAAACCCTTTTTTATGTGAGATCTAAAATATACAGAACAACATCCTTTTTTGGACCACAGACATTAATTTCCAGATTCCTGGTGGTTCACTGTTTGGTCAGTTAGCCTTGGAAATCACTGCTGTTCAATTACACACCAGCAGATGCAGACTGTTAAAGACACAAGTGCCCAAAGCTACAAAAATATGTGGTGATTTCTAATGTCATCATTTTTTCTCATGGCCATCTCCTAAACCTATATTCATGGCTAAACTATCCCATGCCTCATTGTGCAATAACAAAGTTAATGTCATACTGCACTTCTGCTCAAAGTAGACACTCTTATTTCTTCATCTAAAGGCTGCAGCAGACTCTCTTGATTTTCTTAAGATACTCTAGCATTAAAGTGTAGGTATACATTAAAATATTTTTTTCAAAATAGCCTATTTGTAAGAGAGGGGGATAACAATATTACCCTTTTCAGCATGAAATCTGCATTGGAACGTGTTTGTACACGAGCTTTGTGGTTAACACTTGGCTGAACGGATGTTCTTCAGTTCCTGTAAAACCCTGACTTGAGCAGTCACTTTATAAGGAGCGTCCCGTCAAGGCATAATTTATTTACTAAAAAGCATTGCCAAGGATATAATATTCTTGCTGAAAATATGATGAAAGTGTCATGACTTTGAGCTGACATATTAAGAAGGTTTTAAAGCAGAATAATTCTTTGTTTCAAATTTGTGGCTAAATCCAGCGTAATTCATAAGAGCTACAAAGAAAGCCTTTTTCACATGTTCAGATTTAGTACCTACCATTGAAAGTGCTCAGTCACCAGCTACATAATGTTGTCTACTACCCTAAGTTAATATTTTTTTAAACACATTGTATTTTTAGGGATTCACCAGTACATCATTCTCTCCTCTTTCTGGAGTAGCAAGCACATTTTGCCTCCAGCAGTACGTTTACATTTATAAATCGTTTTAAGAACGTATTTAACAATTTATTGATAGATCTATATTAATATACATTTATCAGAGATAAAAGCAGAAAGACCAAGCAAAACTTAAGCAGATACCTGTTTTTTTTACATTTACTTAAAAAAAAGTACAAATGAGAAACCTTATTTCCTCAGTCTGATTATCTCTGTTGACAACCAAACCTGACCTTCAGTGAATTCAAACTACATAAAAATCTGTCAAACTACATAAAATCACCCCTCCACAAAAAGCCCCACCTCGTCTAGTAGAAAACCACAAACTCAGAAAACTTATTTGTAGTTCACACTTTCATTCTGTGTCAGACAGACATATATGTGGTCAATACTCTATGCTTTTTACAATAGAGGCCTTTATTGGTTTAGGTCGAGGTTAATGTCATAAATAGTGTTTTGGGGTCTCACAATAGAATGGATTCACAATTCTTTCCATTGACTGTTTCGATATTTCATACTTCTTTAATATCAAGGCTGAATCATTTTAAGGCTAAATCACTTTTAAAACTTTCAGATTTTCAAAGGATTATGAGGGCTAGACACCAAGACAGGCAACAGCTGGTGAATTGTGGAAAAAACATTCTATAATAGTGTGCCCACCTGTATTGCAATCTTCACTGAAATATACTATATACTGTATTTGTGGTCCATTCAGTCAGATATTTGCAGCTCATCTGACCTGAGTTAAGCTGTGAGATTGAGTGATCTACAGCTGTGGCCATTGGATGATTTACATTTGGCAGCCATTCTTAGCAAGGTTTGCTACTAAAACAGTTGAACTGTTATTACTACACTAATGTCAAGGCCTTTAGGCGATTTTGTAGACACAAGAGTAGACATTGTATCTGTAATTGTGCAATTAATGAGCAAAAACATCTGTTAATGGTTGAAACTTTGCTTCACTATTCCGCACACGTACAGTATTTCACATGCCTTAACTTGATGAGAAATAACTTTTTTTATTTTAGGAATTAATACTGCTTGTTGCAATGAGTCCCTGTTTTGCACAGAAAATGAAAAAAACAGCTGTTGAATATTCAGATCAGAACATTTAATTATCTTAAACGAAAACAAGCAATGCAACATTTCAGTCATAATTTCTATAAAAAGTCCTTACTTCAGCAGTTATGCTAAGAATGACTGGAAATGTAAGATGATGAAATGTGATCCAATGATTACGAGCAATAGATCTCATACTCACCTCCTATCCCAGGACGAAAATTACGTGCATACCCCTTCATTAAATCATCCAGATTAGGTAACCAGGATATTTCAATGTCTGTACCTACATAGTCTCCAATATCACTCATCATCGCCCTAAAGAAACAAAGATATAAAGCCTGTGATATGACACAATAAAGATACATTCTTTCTTTTAAATTTCCAGGTACAAGACACGTACAGTATGATGAACATATATGTTGTAGCTTTTTTCAAACCTATTCACCACACTAACAAAAAAAACCTGCTTGCACTCTATCTAGTAAGATTGGTGGCTTTCAAAACATGAAAGGTTAAAGAGGTGACCTAGGGAGAAGTACTGTATATAGAGGATCAGCTGATAGGAGAGCATTTGCAACAAATTCTGCAGATAAAATTAAACCTTAAAACTCTAAGCTCTAACACTTATTTTCAGAAATGCAAAGTATTTTCATTTATGGGGTTTTGTAGCTGAAAAAGGTTAATTTGCTCCTTCATTAAAGAAAAATATACTGTTTAACCGGTATTTGTTAATATACATAGATATATCTCCTAACATTCCTGTTCCTTCCTTCATTCCTCCACAAATCTGCTCACAGCTTTTTTTTCTACCTTTTAGTGTGGGATTAAACTATGCTTGTCCCTGTGGTTAATGACATCTCTCCTAAAGTTACTCAACGCTCATTTGTCCTGGCACATGGTAGTTGATATGGTTCAGTGCATTCACAAAATGAACGATGCAGAACTGCCAGTAAGGTGTCTGCATTTGTAAAAGCAAAATAATTGGAGGTTAAGAGAGAGAGGAAATCGAAAGCACAATTTAGTTTATCCACAAGAGGGCAACCTCCCCCCCTCCCCCAGTGACACTGCAAGCAGTTGTTCACGCATCGGCTGCAAGGTAAGTTCAACATTAGACGAGGACAAAAGATGATATAAAGATCCCAGAGTATAAGTCAGAACATTTTTCAGGGTGAAGGGAGGGAATATAGAATAAAATTATAAGAATATACTTTTAGAGTTATTTAAATTAAGCTTGACTAATAAAAGCACCTAAGGTGTGCAAGACTCACTAGTAGTTATCATGGTCCATAAGTATACAACTCCAAGACAGTATTTGGAGAGCATGTACTCCTGCTGTTGGCCACCTCCCACATGTACTGTACCAACTGTTGTGACACAAAATATCTCGGGAGTCCCCTTTACCTGTAAAGCGCTTTGAGTGGAATGTCCAGAAAAAGCTCTATATAAGTGTAAGCAATTATTATTATTATTATTATTATTATTTCAAACATAAATGAAAAAAATACTACTGTGCTATTGTACTGTACATAAAGAGGATCAGTTCCATTGGAATTGTTCATCAATCTGTTGGAAATATGAGTTTGAAGTAATTGTTGTCAAGCAATGGCAATGGTAGAGTAGAGGAAGGTGTACTGAAGAATACAAAAAGCACGAGGTTCTGGCTATGCTCTTGTGAGACTTGCTGAGGCCCTGTGCACAGAGACAGAGGAGTATGATGATGTTGGCCTAGAGGGCATGTGACCATCCTGCTCCCTCTGCTTACTGGAGGTTATTGCCAGTTGACTTTCACTTACTCTTGAAATGGAAAATACAGGAAAAAGCTTCTGTTCTGTTTTTTACGAGGGGAGTTGGCCGGGCCCATTCCTGTCTAAGCAGTTCTTTACCAGTTCAAATCGAGAGCTAAAGGAAAAAGCGTAAAAAAAACAAAAGCTTTCCTTTCGGGTGGCTGCTTTTCGTCTGTGGCTCACTGCACATAACTAGCCTGATTATGATTCATTCGATCAGCTTAATCCATATCTGGTTCAAGGAGACATTAATCGAGATAATCTGCCCAAGTGCACTGGGCTCTGCAGAACTCTGAATAAGTGGAATTTTCATAGAAACTCTCAGAAAAAATCGGACAAGGAGACTATGCATTAGGAGACTATGATTACAAGTCATCGATGACTGACTTGTAATCGGCACACTGTGCCTTGCACTGTGCAATACATACACATCCCTATGGATAATGTATCATATACCAAACAGTTCTGAAAATGAATCAAAATAAAATCACAGAGCTTTCAGAAGACCTTATATTGCCCCACGGTCTTTACAAACTAGCAGGAACAAACACGTGATTGTGGGATCTGCTGAGCTCATGTCCTGAGGTCTTTTACTGTGAGGCTTCTGCAGCCTTTCTGCTTGCTTGTCTGAGGGAGGAGAAAGGAGGCTGCACGCTCAGTGCAGTGCTTGATTCTTTTTTTCAACATAGCCCCTTGGTTAAAAACAAACAAGAAAACACAAATCCAGCGCAAGCAACTGCATTCCATTAACTAGGCCTGCCTGCAGCCATCAGTGTTATTTGGCAAGTTTCATTAAACTTAAAACAGGCAAACCAATGTGCCCACATGCTTCCAAGGAAAACATTTAGCATTTTTACTGCTTATTTAAAATTAGAGGCATGCTTTCATTTAGTTAAGTTCAGATTCTGGTAGCCCTGAATACTCCCAGGGCAATCCTTTGACAAAGCATGCCATTTTAACTAACCAATTGTTTTCAAATACATTTCTGTGGTCAAACGTAAGTCAAAACAATTTTCTCAGCTCTGCCCTGAAGGAATCACGTAACTGAGGTCTGAAAACAGGTATATTCTCTTGACACCTATAAAACATTCTGAACTATTGAGCATACTGTTTATTTCTTTAAATTACACAAAAATAACTAAATATTTTATTATATGTACTGTACAACCTTTAAAAGCAATTATATCAAAGTTCTGATTTCCAATTCCAACTCAGAATGATCAAATTGCTCCTATTTGTTTCCACATATGGATTTGGAGCCAAAATTGTAATTAAACATTTAACAACCTTTGTAACACAAATCCACACATGATGCATATTTCATTACAATATTCTGTGAATCTCATAGAATTGGAAATGTCAATATCTAACAATATATAACAGTGAGTCACATTCCAGCCTTTAGTTAACACTACGACCATTTCAATTATACTGATGAACCTGATGGTAATGCTATTCTAGTCTGGGGCTCCATTTCTCCTGAAATTAAGGAAATTAAAAACTAACTTCAATTTTTAAGATGTTACAGTTAACAAAGAAGCCTGCATGAGTTCTTGCTCTTGAAAAACAAAAGGCAAGTACTTCTCTGCAATATTTAAAATAAAGGTTCTCCTTATCAACTGAAGAGCCTTAGAAGCAATTTCAGGTATTTCACACAGTTCTGTGCAGTGGGTTGAGATGCATGTTGAATGGACCATGACACATCCCAAGGGAATTCAAACACAGTCACCGTGCTTTTGTTATTGGAAAACAAAAAGGAGAGAGGGAGAGTTAGAGGACAGTTTCCATGAGTCATAGTCCCAAGATATTGATGCTTCTGAATTGATTTCAGCACACGTTCAGTAGTGAAAACACACCATCTGCTGTCAGATTGTCAACATTATAAATCACATACTGTACACCTACCCATTTTAGTTATTTAGGAGCAGGACTGCAATACTGAATCTCTTCTAATCTGTGCAATTTTATAATTTTGCTCTGCTCATGAGCACAATCTTAAGTGTTTACTACAGTATGCTGTAAAGCCTGGGTCATTTCAATGGCACTTTGGAGTCCTTTGGGATGAAAGGTGTTCTATAAATATTATTATTATTATTATTATTATTAGTAGTAGTAGTAGTAGTAGTAGTTGTTGTTGTTGTTGTTGTTGTTGTTGTTGTTGTTGGTTCAGATATGACATGTGAAATGAGTCATCACAGCAACATCTCTGCTACATGCACTGGGTTGCTCCTCATTGTCTTATCTAATTGTCTAATTGTATTAACTGGATTTTTTTTAGTTCCACCATCTTATATTCAATGCCTCAAGGACATCATGTTACTTGTAAGAATCAAAAAGAAGAGATGTAATACAAGGATCAATTCAGGTAGATCTGGCAACCTAGGGAGCAGCATTTGCAACTTTGTAATCTGACATCATCACATCTGAGAAGCTAATCATTAGATCTGATCAAGACCGGGATGGAAGGATAACCAGATCGTTGTTATTCCATCTGGACAAGCAAGTGGCACTCTTCACTTATGATCTGAATTTTCCTGTATTTGACTGGACAAGATGCAGCATTGAGTTCATTTAAAACTTGTGATTCCAAAGTAATGGGAGGTGGGAAAGAAAAACAATTAAGCTAAGCAAATAGCAGCAAAAATAAAAAAGGTTACTCTGCACTTGAGAAATGTATACAATTCTCATGTCTTTAAGTCCAGTACTTAGTACTGCTGCCTGGTACCCTGGTGTGAATTCAGAATTAGCATGGCTTTCCACAAGAAGTCAGTGGGAAGGAGACAGAAGCTAACAACATGACAGGTGTGAATGTTGAACTTGTTCATTTCTCTTGAGTGTGTCAATTTGTTTTCTGTTTGTCCCTCCAGACATAAAGAATGATTGAATTATTACAGTACGGCAATGAGTGGAAGAAGACAGTAAAAACAGTCTTATTTTTAAAAATATTTTTCTAAATAATGCAAGTGGAATTTTACTGGAAATGCATTGGGAATCCTTCTCTTATATTAAAGCATAGATGCATTTAAAGCTGAATGGGGTGATGTTTATTTTCAAAATAGGCAATTTCGCTCCCTGCTGAAGCAGTTGTTGGACAGCAGTGACAGTTTCTAATAGCAATTTAAATAAGCCTTTCTCTATGCCCATAAAAATCTGTGTATAAGCTTCCTAAGAGACACATTCTCCTGAGTGCCATGGAAATGAGTTGCTAATTTTGGAAATAGCTTGGCATAGGATAACTTAACCCACTAAACAACTTTAATTCCTTACACTGCCATTCCGATTGTTACAGAACACGATCTTATATTTATAGAACTTGATGTCTGAGTTGTGTTTTACTGCCTTAGCCTTACACAAAGTGGCGCTTTTTTGTAGTGTGTCAATGTATGACATAATGACAAGTCTGACGCAAGTAGCTTTTGGATACCTAAATAACCCTTGGCATCAGGTCCCACTGAAAGGAACACTTTCACTGAAATTAGTCTGCAAATAACACTGAAAAAATACAAAAAGGAGAGGGATCCAAAATGAGAT